TTGCTGTTGAATTGAAAGTAAAACAAACCCAAGCTGAGGAAAACTGTGCAGAGCAGATCGTATGCATTATGCTGCGAACACTGATTCTGACAGACCCCCTGTAGTGAGGAATTTAATAGGGGACCAAGCAAAAAAAAAAAAGAGAAAGTCTCAGTTTATTGTTTCATCCAAGTCAAATTAACATCCCAGAACATCTCTCCCCTGAGGTCACGCCAAAGCTGCACACAATAAGATTATATTCAATTTACTTTGTATTAGGATGTGTGCAGAGGAGTACTGTTGCAATATTTAGCAGTGACGAATTACTGTATTTCTTTACTGTAAGTAGCAGAAGGGCACAGGAGTAAGGCACAATACACTCCATTTAGGGAAATACTGTAGGTATTATTTCTGCCCTAAAACACAGCCATGCCATCAAAAACTGTCTATATTTTGTTGGAATCCGAACCCTAACCCTAGCTAAGGGTTTGGCTAGGTTAGGGTTAGGGCTCAGGGATTTGTCAAACACCTTTCACAATCTTACACTCAACTGATAGGAAAATTTGCTTCTCTGAATCCAAGAAAAAGTCTGAAAAGACGAAACAACCTTGCCAAAACCAAACAAATGTATCAAGAATGGTCAAATTAATTTTTGTCAGGTATTCTATCATTGGAAATTTTGTGTTGAATGGAGTGCTGAATGAGTATGGGTTCAGGCTTAAGTGGTGTGAGAGTCAGAAACACCTAAAACATGTTGGTTTTATATGTTAATATGCCTGTGCAGTCAATGCCGATTGCAAGAGTTTGTAAAGTGAAGTCAGTTTCTGTCAAACTATTGCTTGTAGAGCAATTTAGACAACATTCTCTTTTGGGGCAAAGCACTGTATACAGTATAGTCATATACAGTATGTGAGAAAAAAAATTATTAGAAAACATTGAAAGAACTGTTTTCCTGGGTATTATTCTGCAAAGTGCGAAGGGAAAGCAAATACAGCAGGCTCCATCTGAAATACCCGATTACAGTGCATAATAGAAGGTATTATTGCTGTATTGAATTATACTGAACATTCGATTATAAATATTTCTTCGCAGCCTGTTCTTCAAGAAAACACCACACGCGAAACGATCTTCAAAGACGGAATGAACGGATGAAAAGAAAAGCTTTTTTTGACGTCTTTTCCGCATTAGCTGAACACTACTTTGTGACGTTCTTTCTTACACGTATGGTATTCTGTTATCTTGCCATGGGCTGTGGGTCTCTGCTCTCGGCCACTGGTCAGGGTGCCAGCCTGCAAAAGCGACACCTGTGTGAAGACTTTTCGGCAGCAGCGGGAGCAGTACGACTCATTGCTGGGAAGGCTTGGGAGGTTGGAGACACTCCTAAAGATGCAGAAGCTGGAGACAGTATGTTCCGGCAGTCAAACGCTAGACCTTCATCTCCAGAAAAGTTCCTCTCCCCGCTCCGCAGGTTGCTGCACCTGGCGGAATGTGTATCTCCACAGAGCCCTCTGCCCCTTGCACACGGGCCCAGGACACTCCACCCTGGCCTCTCTGCTCACCTCCACCTAGGAATTGGCTGGTGCCGTCCCCGCTGTCTATCTCACCTCAGGAAGCACCATCTACACAGCAGAATTCACAGATGCCACTGCAACATACAGTTCTCAACTACAAAGATTACTCAACTACTGTACACTGCTGAAAGAGAGATAATAAAATCAGTATTTCACTCCCTGCTCTTTTCTCTATACTAAAACTTGAGCTTAGCTTAACAAACATGCAACAAAAGCACCACATATTAAACTTTCAAAAGCCTTTAGTTTGAATTCCTTGGGAGAAACCCACAAATTGTGAAAAACTACTAAAGTGGCAGCCGAGCTACAGCGCAGCATTTCCAGATCTTTCTTACATCTCTGAAACCTTCTAGCAGGTCTTTTCTCTGCTTTAACCACCCAACCTCCTTCATGCTACACTGTCAACCCCAATCAGAAGAAGAGTCTGCTAACGGCTGCCCACAATCTTTACTGAACAGCACAACTCCTCAAGCACAGCAGCCACTGGGATCTCATACAGAAGCGATTAATAAACCTCAATTATACACTGCATGCAGTTTGACGAATGACAAGATAGAAATGTAAATGTAAAGTTCTTATCAACCTACACACACATTTGAGCAATGAATGCTCTTGTGAAAACCATGTCTGGAAAACAGCATGTTCGTTTCAGAAATCATTGTGGGATCTTTATTAGATTACCACTGAAGTGTCAAAGAGTCTGCATGCATCAAGCACTAGTATCTTCCTTTACAGCATTTTATAAAATTGTTTTAAAGCCATGTCGTCCTTTCCCAGCACTTAGACATTTGGGTTCTGGTTCTTTTTTTGCAATATTTAAATACAAAAATCCAATCATACTTTCAGATCTGTCCGTCTTTCCTTTTAGAGAGTGAAAATGGGTGGGTTGATGTTCAGCTACATAGGATTTCACGTTAAAATCCCTTATATAATGCTAAGCGCTTGTTTGAGACTTGGTGTTTTCATTGGGAAAAGGGGGAGAGTTAACAAGAGTGAAAGATTATTTGTGAGGTAAGGGTCTGCACATGATAGGTTTGAGCCTGAGATGTGTCACTGGCTCCCTCCAGCTCAACTGGCAGAGTGGAATTAGAACTGGAATTAGTCAGGCAGGGCAGACTTGGAGGTTGCAGTGTGTAAAAAGATGAATGGCTTGATGGGTGGGTCAGAAGTGCTTGTCTGCACTTCTTCATTCTTCCTTTGTGGGTACAGGAATTGAGCTGAGATGCAGCCATTCTAATTTTCTATCTACTGTACATACTGTATAAAAGTTTAATTCTGAAATTCAAGGTAATTTTCCATTTTATAATCTCTAATTATGAATTACCAAGTATCAATATAGGGATTCTCATGCTAGCACAGAAATCCTATGGACTGTGCATGCCTTGATCTGAAACTGAGCCCATTTAGCAAGTCCAAATTTGGCAACTATAGAGTTAATGGACTAGAGGATTAATCTGGCTCCAAAAGATATAATGCAAGGTCACAGGTGCCCAACCAGGTACCAGGGGTCTCAGATATACAGCAATCTGGTTTACCTAAGACAGCTGAAAAGATTTTTGCCTTCACATTTGACTGACCCTATAACACACCATTCTTGACTGTCAAGTTCTCTCTAGGAATGAATTTGTTTTCTTCTCTTATTACAGAACATTGCTCCAGTGGATTGTGGATTTTACTGCACAAATGTCAGGGTTTAGCCTAAATATGTTCAATGCATCCTTCATCAGCCAATTGTTTGTATTTAGTCTTCAGTGTAAAGCCATTCTGCCAATGTCCAGCCTTGTGATTGATAAGAGGAGAACACAGAGAAACTGTAATGGCCAACTAATGCCTATAAACCAATATTTTCAAAATACCACCCTTTATCTGTAACATTTTGCATTTTTGCATCTACGATATTATATTGGATCACATCTGTAAAATGCTAGAGCTCACATACTCAGCTCAAAATTAATTTAGGCTGTCTGTGTACTCAAGAATGTTGTCGTCTCTCTGCAATCTCCTCTGTCTCATTCTGTTTGTTTATCTTAAAGGCATTTCCAAATCAGGACAGCATTTGGTTCTTCAATGGGTCTCAGATGGATTCATTTGCCCAGAACATTTTGTGTATCTACACTCTAAGCAAATCAAGTTCTGGACAAGAAAATAAGGGAGCTTGTTTTTAATCTAATGCTATCAAAGCACTTAAAATGCTAGGTTTGATTTGAAGCATTTTTCTGAAAAACACCCAGTGGTCACAGGTGATTTCATATACTAGTTCAGGAGCTATTACGCTCAGAGTTTCATTTATTAACTTGCTTGCTCAAGTCACAGCTGGGGTTAGACTTTCAGGAGAAGATACTGAGTCTACAAACAACAGTTTTACTTTTCTTTGGAGGTGCACTGAGCTGCAACACTGAAGACACGTCTTCACTTTTATTCCAGGCCATGTATTTTTAATGCATTTTGGCGTTTACTGCTCTTAGAGAAATGAACATTCAATGTATTACTGGGGCTCTCCAATAGTCAAACTTAAAAATTCCCTTTTTACCCAGCATTGCTTGGCCTGCTGGAGTTTGACAGCACAGAGGCTAGAATCAGACGGTAATTCATAAAGAAGTATAGCTATAAATAACCAGATCAGAAGCAAACACCACAGCACATCGTACTTTGCTAAGTGTAGCGCTAGTCTTCTGATGCACATAAAATCGTATTTAAGACCCAGAATTTGGTCTTGAATGGCTCTTATTAAGGCCTGCTGTCTGAAAAATTTTAGCATCCACATGTGAATTAAACACATCCTGCTCGACTTTAACAAGCAACTCCTGTCTCTAACAACCCTCCAATAACAATGTTTTCAGCCTACTAGATGGGAAAAATGATTTATTCTCTTGCCTTCATCAACTTTGATTGTTGGTATAATATATTTATAAATACTGCTACTGCTTGTCTGTTGCAATAATTTATAGGTTTACAGGTCTTTACAGGTCTGTTGCTCTTCAGCTCACTGCAGCTCAAAACACTCCTTCATCCTCACACAAGCTACAGTTACATGTACAAACAGAATGCAGGGTAAAATACTGTTGTAAGTAAACAATGTACTGCAGAACAACACCACCGGAATACACTGCAACACTAATATCAAATTTGATATACAGGTACTGTAGAAGTGTAATATCAGCCATCCCCTTTGCAACAAAAGTTAATTAACCTGGAGTCTGCACCACTATTTGCTGGGATGAGTCAAATATATTCCTGACAAACAGGTATACTCTCATGTAAAAGCACAGAAGTAATAATGCTCTTCGAAGGAATTATACCACTATTCTCGTCTAACACTGTTTATTGGTGGAGTTATTGCAAGCTTGCTGTGAACAAACTAAAACATGTCACAATAGAAGCTTTAATGACCTTGTTTTCAAAAGAACTATCACATTTTACAGATTAGCAAGAAATTTATGTTTCCCTTACCTTAAACATCTGCTTTACTTTCTGTCTGGGAAGGTTGACGTTCAGCTTGTGAATGAGTTGCAGAACTTCACTTATGCTTAAACTGCCATCACCGTTTTTATCTGCTTCAGTGAATGTCTGCTTCAGCCACGTTGCATTAAAAGTTAAGGATAACTCACATAAAGGCCCACGGTGAAACTTCAAATCCTATATATGCTGTAACACATCCCTCAATGGTCTAAGAAATTAAGCTATAATTGATATTGGGACATGTCCTAACCTTTGTATCCCCCCACCCCTTGGTGGTTATGCCCATTTTCATGAAACCTTGTTCTCCGTGTGAAATTCATCTGTAAAAGAGGCCTCATGCTGTAGGAAGAACAGTTTTACAGTTTTCTGAAGATAGTAAGGAGCACATTAGAAATAATTGGATGAAAAATGAATAATAGGCCTTGCATACCAAATGAGATGTTAGCTGGGAGCACAGACGTGTTTATACAGAAAATGAAAGTCTAAGTTAAATTAACTTCAGACCTCAGGCATGAGTTAATGTGCATCCTGATAGAATTCCTCTGCTGTCAAGAATGAAAATTACTGAAAGGAGCGACTCTAAAAAGTGACACACTGACACAATTGACCAAGGAAGGTGGGCTAAAAATCTGATCAAATTAATCTCTTGGAGCATTTAGCAGAGATGCCTTTCCGGTTTCAAGTAATTAAAAACTTCAACTTATTCAATACTGCCTCGAAGGCAGCAATAAATAACACCTAAAACATAAAACCTGGTTTCTTAAAACAAAGGCTCTGTTAAGCAGGCTACAGAACAGATGGTAAAGGAATTCAGAAGCCTAACAGTCAGGACCTCCAGGCTGAATTTAAATAAAAGTAATGTGTGAATTAAAGCATGCAGCAAGAGGCTTACACCCAATGCTTCTCTATAGTTCTCTCTGGGCTGTGAACAATAATATCAATCTTACAGCTAGCCAACAATGGAATAACAAATCCAACTGGAAACAATTTAATTTAGGAAGCGTCTGAGCTTTGCCACACATTTTGAAAGGTACAGTAAAACATAACTTGATACTTGCAGAAGAATGCTGGCTCTTAGAAAGTGAACTGTAATAATAAACATGGATTAATTAATGCTGTTTAAGTGGAATATGTTCTTGATCAATGCATACAGTATTATCTACAAAATTATTAAAAACCTCCCTTTTGTGGTATTAAAAATATTAAAAAAACATATTAAATAAAAATACTATGAAACAAAACAGACACATTTTACAAAGCCATAAAGAGCAAAGTAGAGAAATTAATTCTACTATTAATATTCTACAAATCTATTTCTACTTAATGAAATAATGTGTTTCATGCCCTTTGACAAAACTATCATGCCCTGCAGAAGACAATGAAGCTCTGGGCTTTTCTATGATAATACATTTTCTATGATGTAAATTTTCAGAAAGCTGCTCTTTATTCATAAGTACTGACCCAACGGAAATGAGAGCAACTGTGTTTTGCCCATAAGGGTCATGGTGAAGTCTGAAATCCTGCAGGCAGTTGGAATATTTATGCCTGCCACTGTACGAGGACTATGAAATATACATTCGTCTGACAATTCAAAATGTAACTCAGAGATCTTTGCTTCCGTATCCCAGTGAACCTCTGATCTCAAAGGAACTAGCTTCTCAGAGTAGAGCTTGCCTCTAACTCCCTTCCTCTTCAATCCTGACAACCTTTCATCTCCTTTGCCTTCTTCAGATACGAGGCATCTGTGCCTTCCACAGCTGCCAGTCAGCCCCTTATACCATCATCTCTCTCTGTACATAATTGCTCTTGATTACCCTGCTCAATGAAGGAGTCAGTTCAGTGCCGCTTGAGAAACGAAGGAAAAAAAAGCCAAATGATAATCAAGTCATTGTAAAATCGTCAAAAACCTACCCCACACAAAATGAAGTCTCAAAGCATTGTTCATTGGAGCAGTAGCACTTAATATGAGAAGTTCCAAACATCCACTGACTTCACATTTCAAAACAAAGTGCTTCTTAATCTTGTACTTTAGCCTAGATCAATCCCCTGGTACAGCTTCTACTGTTAATTCATGAAATACTTAATTCAAGACTGATAAGTTCATTATTTTTCTGAAGTACAGACCTTTGTCAAGGCACAATGTTTCTTTTTCTACATTTTTGCTGATCTAGTTCAGACAAGAGCTTTATTCAAAGACCTTGACACCTCAAGACTCTAGGACCTGCTTAGAAATGTATTTTTTTCCTAAAACTGCAGATGCTATATTTATCCTTGCGTCCCTGCAGACTCTCTGAAGAAATGATGAAAATCACAGCCATGTGCCTGCCTGCCTGAACCTTTGACAGTTGCAGCAAAAGAAAGGATATTGGTCACGTGTCCGCTGTCTCTTTGCCAGGCTGTCTTCATCACTGATGCCAGCCATGAGGTATTTAAGGCCGGTAATCCAGGTCCGTGCCTCCTCAGCATTCGTAGACACCAGGTCAAGAGATTCCATGTGGTCCCCATAGTAAATACTGAAACAGCAGTTTGGATCAAAACTGCCATCCGCGTAGCGCTGAAAGATTTCAGACTGTTTCCCTTCACACACCTCCCGCATTGAATCTATGGAAACTGAGGGCAGAAAGAAAAGAAGAAGAGGCAAAATGAGCAGGTATGTAACAGCAGATATAACATTCAGTTCAGCAGAGGTCACAACACTGGCCTCATAATGTTATTTTGATTACACCAGGGAAGCTAAAAGATGCCATGCATTTTGGATATTTTGGCATTCTGTATGGGAGGATTAGTATAGTTTTGTAAGCATGATTCTTTGTAGTAAATCGCATGCATTTTTACCTTGATCTTACAGCTATCATTTGACCATAAAACAAAAATGGTATTAACCAAATTATACAGTAGGTGGCTATTTTTTTTCCAGCACTTAATTTATCAGCTTTTGAGCCCATTAGACTCAATGGAAACCCATGAAAGAAGACCAGGTTACAGTCAATTAATTGTTAATGAATTTTCTTTCCCCACCACATGTGAACTCAGATTAGCAAAATCCCCTCTTGAGCTTTCAAGCTAAGAATGATGGGCTCTCTTTTTTCGTTAGCCTCTAGTACATTCAAGTAAGAATATTAAATTCAAGTTAAGTGAGAGAAGAAACACAAGCCATTGCTTTATTTTTTCCTAATAAATTCAGTTTTAATGTTTTGACTATTCTATAATAAGAGGGGAGAAATAAACCAATGTCATATATTCTGTCACGTAGATGGAGGATGACTGACCATTGTAGTAGTCTACACATTGTCACTGCTGGGGTCGTCGGGATTATTTTACTTAAAAGTAATATACAGTTTGATACTTGTAATTTAAAATGAAATGAATCATTTCATGGGAAATAAACAGGTTAACCAGATATGTCATTCAAGAGGAGCAGGAGCAGGCTCGAGTGATGTTTGGGCTTTTGGACTGTGGGCTGGAGAATAGTGAGATCTAATCCCAGGGAAGAGATCTCGAGCAAGATAGTTCACTCAAACTGCTCTATAAAATAATAACAATTAATAATTGCTTACACTTATATAGCGCTTTTCTGGACACTCCACTCAAAGCGCTTTACAGGTAATGGGGACTCCCCTCCACCACCACCAATGTGCAGCCCCACCTGGATGATGCGACGGCAGCAATAGTGCGCTAGAACGCTCACCACACATCAGCTATTAGTGGGGAGGAGAGCAGAGTAATGAAGCCAATTCATAAATGGGGGATTATTAGGAGGCCATGATTGGTAAGGGCCAATGGGAAATTTGTCCAGGACGCCGGGGTCATACCCCTACTCTTTTCGGGAAACGCCCTGGGATTTTTAATGACCACAGAGAGTCAGGACCTCGGTTTTACGTCTCATCCGAAGGACGGCGCCTGTTTACGGTATAGTGTCCCCGTCACTATACTGGGGCATGAGGACCCACATGGACTGCGGGTCCAGCAGCAACCTTAGTTTTGCTCTTCCAGCAGCAACCTTAGTTTTTCCCCGGAGGTCTCCCATCCAGGTACTGACCAGGCTCACACCTGCTTAGCTTCAGTGGGTTGCCAGTTGTGAGTTACAGGTGATATGGCTGTATATAGTCCTATGAATAGCCCCCATAGCCCTTCTCTATGAATGGACAATCTACAGATCTACACTGTTAATGAGAATTTGTTCTAAATTGACACAGCAGATTGAATAATACATTAAAGCATTAATTAAAAAACACAAATATACAGGATAAACCAAATATTTGGTCTATGTATTAGGCAGCAGATGCCTCAATGCAATCATTTTAAAATTTGCACAGAAAGCAGGATTATAAATATCAAGTCATGATGCAGACACCTTAAAGAAATCAAACCAGTTTTTAAGATTTTAAGATTTAAGGCACTAATTAACCTATTCTGAGAGCACATGGGCAATTAACTTCAAGATTAAATCTGCTGATTATCACGCATGAGGGTACAAAACAAAATGAAGGACATTTAGGATGTTTTCACACATTTCAGCTAAATGTTGCTGTTCAAATAGAAAAGGAAAACAGTGGCACCAGATATAGCCAGGTAGCAGCAGAACTTTTCAGACCTCTGAAAGTATACCTCTATCAACATTAAAAAAAATCTAATGTTGTTTAATTATGTTGTTGCTACTAGCAGAGAGTTGGGTAAGTGTTCCGCTGTGCAGAAGCCTATGGTACCTCAGTGAATTGCTCCAGCGTCCCACATACACATAAGCAATCTTTGAAAACAATAACAGAGAAATCTGAACTTAATACACATGATTAAATGGTGGCAGTCACTTATAATCTTGTAGTATTTTAAGATTTTATTGCAGCTGTAATTAAAAACTGAACAAAATGACTGAAATCCACCTCACTAAGGAGAGGGATATCTATTAAAACTTTTTTTAATATAAGGAAATTTGAATAAAAATTACCACCGGGATTCCCAAATGGTATTAAGCATCTGTTCGAAACAAAAATGTAATCAGCATATTTAACACGTTACAGGTAAACACAGTTAATCTCAGACAACACAATATGCTTGTATTGAATTCAACTATAGGTCAAGGCATTACACACTACAGTGACAAATACCATAAGGACACTTCAAGATCGCAGTTGACTGTCACCATTTACTTCACCAATTTCCTTATGGCCATTTTATAAAGATTACTTTTATACACAATAGTCAAAACCACTAAAGTGTAATTTCAACATTTCTATCCATCAGCAGCTATATCACCTTGAAATGCATAGTACACTGTATAACTTAATATTGTCCTTGACTACCTGCACAACCTCTCAGAGAAAGTGTGGATTCCATATTGGCCTAAACAATCTTCAGCTCATGGAAGACAAACATCCTCAACCATGAAGTATAACCAATGAGTGAATTTTCAATGCCTCTTTAAAGAAAAAATGTGTTCACTTGTCAAGAGAGACACTTGATTACAGAGCTCTACTGCAGTTTTATTTCTTAAAATGATCTTCTGTGAAGGTGTTAATCCATTACAATTATGCAATAGATTGCATTCTACCCATTCAATTCTGTATGTTACAGCATCTTCCCAAGTACTGCTCAGACGGACACTAATGCTAGGTTCAATCCAAGGCTGAGCATAAGGGAGAAGTGAAAAGAGGAGACTGTGCTGTGACTCCATTATGAACATTCAATGACCTTGAATCTCTGCCCCCGACTGACAAAACCAGTTAATCCCAGATCAGTCATTTTCATTTATCTTCAAAATACTCAGAATCCTTCCAGTTTAGTCTGGTTTACAATGTTTTTTTTCTAGAGATTGTACTAGAAGTATTGAAGTATCCAAGTGTCTAATTTGTTGAATTTTCCAGATGTTTACCAAAACAATGGTGTTGCATTAGTCCAAAAACCTCTTCAGTAACTGATATCAGAAGATTTCAAAGTTTTAGGAAGTCAAAATCATAATTAAGACTTTTTAAAAGTGTTCACTTTCAGTGATGTGCACTACACAATATTTTAATTGAATTGTTGCTTTTCCTCATAAAAACAGCAGGCCCAATATTAAAAAAATGATTTTTACTATACACAACGGTGTTCTTAAGTACTAGGGTAAATTAGAAACTAGTATCACAAGATAAAATGGAATAAAGTCTGAAGAGTTTTTTTTAAGCATTTTAGAATTTGTTTTGATAGTGAAACATGCCTTTTGGTGGTGTAGACATCTTTTGGGAGGTTAGACACATTGATTACTGAAATGACTTTCAAGGCAAACTTTACTACTTAAACCTAATGAAAAGTGTCCTTAATTTTAATGTCAACTAAATAGTTGACATTATAGTATTTTTTTTGTGTGTGGGAGGTGTTACATTTTGTCAGATTTTTCATTTAATTAAAAAGGATGCCTCTAATTTATCCTCAAAGCCTATATTCTAAGAATATTTTTTAGTTTTAAGTGATACATGTCTTTGCAGTTTTACCCGATTAGTTATTGACAATCTACCATACGTTTATTGAACCTTTCTTACAAATAATCTAAGGCCTCAAACACTCACAGACTATCCACACAGTTGTGGGACAATGGAAGAGATAGCTGCACAACATAGTTCTTTTTGCAACAAACATCAAGTTACTAATTCATGTTAGAATTAGCACACAGTGTGTGTATCATATTTGCAGTATAGGAAATACAGTAGGTGCTCTGTGAGTCGTTTAAGAGTTTCATTTGATGAGAAAGATCAAAATATGCATGCTAAATTTTATCCAGAACTTTAGATACTACTAAGGCATTCCTATTAACCATTTGGACAGAAGTCAACCCAAATGTTTCACTCTTCCATCGCAGTAGTTCAGATCATCACTGCTTCATTTCGCAGTAATCACTAAAGGAAAAACTGTATCTTTGCTGGTTTTACAAAAAAGGACATAGCTGTGCTTCACGGAGATAATCCACCACTGTTAACCAAAATCGATTTTGCTCTTCAAAAACACAGCATCAATATCTTTAGCACACAAACCTCAAGATTGGCCGACATTCATTTGTTTGTTTAGCGATAGAGTGTATTCACTCTGTTAATGAAAAGTGTTCATAACAAGCACAGCAAGTGCAATTTATAAATATAGTTTTCTGAGCTAACTGCCGTGTGTGCACTCATTTGGCTTAACTTAGTACTAAGAGAAGAAATAATTCTTAGAATCTAAGTATCGGAAGGAAAATACATTTGTATTAATATTTTTATTGACTGCTTACATATTCCATTTTTTTCCAATTTTTGCAGCTCCTTACAAAATAGCATCTACTAAGGATGATAATGATGATTAAAGTAAAATCATCATCATTAGTAATTATTTTTTCCCAGCAGGTATATCACCCTGCAACCCCACAACTGGCAACCTAATGAAGCTCAGCAGGTGTGAGCTTGGCCAGTACCTGGATGGGAGACCTCCTGGAAAAAACTACTGGAAAAGGTGTTGGTGGGACCAGGAGGGAGAGCTCCCCCTGCAGCCTGAGTGGGTCCTAAGGCCCACATATAGGCATCCTTCAGATGAGAAGTAAATCTGAGGTACTGACACTCTAGTTATTAAAGTTCCCAGGTTGTTTCTCGAAAAAAGAGTGGGAGTGTTACCCCGGCAGCCTGGCCAAATTTCCCATTGGCCTTTTCGAATCATGACCTCCTAATAATCCCATCTATGAGTTTGCTTCATCACTCTGGTCTCCTCCCCACTTATAGCTAGGGTGTGGTGAGCGCACTGGCGCACTCTGGCTGCCGTTGCATCATCCAGCTGGGGCTGCACATCGGTGCTGGAGGGGAGTCCCCATTATCTGTAAAGTGCATTGAGTGGAATGTCCAGAAAAGCAGGAACTATTATTAAAGAATTGATTCAAATTTTGCATGATTTTCAGCATCTTCTTTTCTTCTCAAAATCGCACCGTTCTTGCTGCAACTTTAATGTGATCAAAGGATACTTTACAGAACAATGGGCATCCTGAGATTTCAGTCTATCCAGAACAGCACCGCAGTAATTAAGTACGCCTAATCGGGAAATATCATCAGGTATTTAAGTACAGGACAGGTTTGCTTTCTTCTCAGTAGTCACCAGCAGGAATTGCAGCAGGCCTGCAGTGCTCACCGTCTGGCTTCAGAAAACTCTAAGATCTGAAAGAAAGCATTTCCAGGGAGATGTGCAGTGACTTACTTTTGGCTTTTTCATTCTTCCTGGAAGGCCGCCAACGGATGCAGGATTTGTGCTCATCCAGGTAGTAGAACCGCACCAGTCCCTTGGAGCTTCCTCGCAGCTTCACCATCTGAGTCCCAGTCTGCATGGAGCTCATGCATCTCTCCACTGTCAGGGGGCAAGAGGAGGAAGGAGCATGAGCAGATGCTACCCACATGCTCCAATCAATCAATCAGAAAACCTGGAGGAAGCTGGACAGAATCATTAGCCAGACAATGCCAAAAGCAGATGCTGCAACACCAACTGTTTGCTCAAGTTCTCCAGAGATGCTGCACTGTTATATTTTGCAACCAGTTATTGTATAATATTAACCAAACATGCTTCCACGCCCTCTACTTGTGAATAAGTGGTGTGCCCTGCTACCCGGCATTAGCAATCTGTTCAGAAAGAAATGGTCAAATCTCCACAGACACACTCAACAGGTCTTATCAGTGCCAGTGTTCCAATCTAAACTGAATATGTTCAAATGTGGATTCTTGCCACTATAACAAATGGCTCTGACTACTACCCAAGTTTTAAGACTGTGCTTTGAAACTGAAGTGGTGAATCACAATAAAAAGTTCTGGAGATCCCGAAAAACTGTGGTGAGGTTTTACAAAGAAACACACTTCAAGTTTTGCGGGTATCGTATTTAACGAAAGAAAAAAAAATATTGTTTTGAAAACACCAGATGACTTTTCTCCATTCATAATATTTTCTAATATCTCTAAGACAGATCAGCAATAGACAGTATTTACATAGTACACTGAAAATAGAGGGGCAATTCTACTGGAAATGTCAGCACATGCATTCAAGCATAAAATCTCTGACCCAAAAGTGAAGGGATGGACTCAAAACAGTGTGAGCACATTCCCCAAGGTCACTGCTGGGGCGCAAAGTGGCAGGCCGATGGATCCACTGCTGAACAGTGATTCCCGAGATTGCTACCAGCACGGCCTTAGGTCTGCATCCGTCACTCGAGATTATCAACTGGTGATTAACACAGTCCCGCGCTCTCATAGTATAGATGTGCATTTCTACTAATGTTGTGTTGGACTCCACTCATTAACCAATGATTGATTTTAAATACTTGAAAGTGTAGACTCCTGAGAGGAAAGGCAATACTGTAGCAGAATTAGGCAGTTTAGCCTTGGCCTACGCCATTAGCTGACTATAACCACAAGTCCCCAGGAGGTGACAGAGTCGCCTGGGAGCTACTGTACCACAACTAGGTGGTGTGGAGTCAGCAATTGTGACCTCGGTCTGCCAGACAATGGCCACCCCTAATCCCCCTGTTAGTGGGAATCTGCTTTTACAGACACTGTGGGACTTAAACAGTGAAAGCAGGCAAGTACACATTTCTAAAGGAAAGCATGCAGCTATACTAGGGTCACAGTGGTGAGCTGTAGTGAAGAACAATTACATAATTAAAGTAATAAGCTAAGCAGAGATGAGATTATGTTTCACAGCCATTGCATCAAGGGCACTTACAAGTATTCGAAGAAACAAATCCTCCGTACAGCACTGTAACAGACATGGTTCCAGCATGACAGCTGTTATTAGTCATTGACTTGGTGCACATGTAAGCAGTGGTGTTTGGGAGCAAAAGAGACTAGCAAACATCAGCTTCTCTTACTACGCCTACAGGTTCCAGGAATCAAAGTGTGGAAAATTTCTACACAAACAGGCTTCTGGTAAAAGATCAGTCTATGAAAAAGGACAGTAACAACAGCTTTGTTTCAGTAAATGCCCCAGATAAAATAACAAACAACCTGTTCACAGTACGCAAAGATAATTATAGTAGATCAAGAAGCACAGAATGATTAAGTACCCTTTTCTGTGCCACCTTCACATTTATAACCAGCGCATTGCGTAACCCAGCTGTTGCAGTGAAAATTAAGTGTTTTAGTCTACAAGGGGCTACAGCCTGTTGAGCTGAGATGACTTCATAAATCCAGTGTTAAGATCTCACTGCCTGGAAGAGCTTGCGATACAGTCAAAGAACAGATTCCTGAGCTTAGCACCAATTGTGTCATCACTGTAAAACATTTTAAATTAGAGCACAATGTTGGACCGATAGTACCGCAGCAATAAGATCCGCAAACTGGAACGTAATTAAGGTATTACTTTAATTGCATTTAGGCAGATCCAGCCAATCTAGACCAAAGCAACATCTCATGATGCTACAGTAGGTATTACATGGAATTTGTTATAAGCTGGAACTTCTTTGTTCTAAAACATAGACATCATAGCACAAGGAAGTCATTTCTAACAAAAGAGTTTTCACACTGCCCTGGGTTGAACCACAGTAAAGGACTCAGCCTTCCAAAGCAAAGCAGTATTTATTTCACTCTGTGTATAACTATCACAGCTGTTCAGCTCAGTCAATACAATAAGCAACCCCGTGCCCAGTGGCTCTTTCCCTGCCATTCTGCATCATATAACATTGCCAGTAGTCTATAAATAATTGAATGGTGGATTTCTTGTATACAAACTACACTGAAATTAAACTGCTTCTGTTTTTGTAGTTCAAAATCCATGTAGGGGCATGAAAATTTAATAACAGCAGCTCATTAGAAACTTCACGTGGTCTCTCAACAAAGGCAAACATCTGCTACATAGTGCAACACAGGTCTTCAGCGCAGCCACACACAACTAGCAGAGCGAGAGTTAAGCCATAATTTCTTTCATTTTTAATTGATGACGAGATTAGCTGGAGTGCTCAGAGGCCACCAGCACAGTAAGAGTTAAATTGGTTGCACACAGATAAGAAACTAAGGAGTTTTGTACCGAAGCTTCGACAGAGCAGATGAGTTGCATTTGCAATTACATTTGCTGATGGCATGAATCGTGATATAACGAGAATGTACACTTATTCACAAAAGCAGGGTGAAACAATGCTTTATTCTGTCTTTAATTATCTATATCCTGGAGGCTGAAAGGGTATTAAAAGCTTAATCCATAGAGCCTCACAACCATCTCACTCTAGATGTGCCCCAAATGAACCACAGATAGTTCGAGAGGGATGGAGAGGGGTGAATGCACTGACATTACATAAACAGCAGATCAGTGAAAAGTTACTATTATGCAATAATGTGCATTAACAATCTGATGTTATGGATGCGTCTCACAGCAGCATGAGAGCTCACAGCTAAAAGGCATACTGTAATGTGCATTGCACTGGGACCAAAATTGCAGGTGTTGCGTATTTGATTGTGGAGTCAGAATCTTTTCCATTGCAGCAAAATTGCCTAAAATGCAGGAGACCTGCCAACACTACCAGCCTTAAGATTTGCAGCTTTCAAGATGATCAGACTGCAAGAACAAGATTTTAGTATTTTTTTAAAAGGGCAGCAGCTGTAATATTGATTGCCAATGATTTTTAGAGATTTTTAATTAGCTCAAGGCATCTAGAGGGACAAACGTGGTCAATAGAATTGTATTCTTCATCAACCGTGTAACAACAACTCTAATGAAATTTGCAATGAGCTTTATTTAGAAATGACCGGAAAAGAAACTCTGAAGACAAAAACAAACATCTATATTCCACAATCTAAATGTCCCGCCTACAGAACAACCGTTAAGCTCAATGAAATGTTTCCTTCTGAAGAAGGCTGTATATCCTCCCCTGTGTGTTCAGGAGAGATGGCAAATGCGAACCACAATAAACAGAAACAGTTCATCTGCATAGTATCATAGCCTCTGGGCCTACGTCATTGATGAGTGAATACACACGGCACACACAAATCTAAAACTCATTAGTCACTTCAGAATCGCCGATACATCTCTGTTCTGCATGATTCACATCACTACTTCAGAAAGGATGGGAATATTTTAAACAGTCATCTACAATGAAACATGGAGCCAGAAATGTAGGTCAGATCCACTTGGGTGTACATTTCAAATGAACAGTCTTCTTACACAAATCAAAAGGCACTCTGAAGGCTTTCTTTGAAGGCACTTTAATGTTAAAATTCTGCTGTAATATTAATGGTTGAAATAGCTGAGGTATAGAGATTAAAAACAAGTCTCTCAAAGACAGTCTACTGCTGAAATTCTAATAACTTTACAACAGCTGGCATTACAAATCCTGATTAATGACGATCTTGGCTTGCAATAGCGAAGGCAGAATTACATATATCAGAGATTAGTACTAATAAGAGTGAATGAAACAAGCCTTGCAAATAAAAACCAAAAAGGAGAATTAGATTATTTGTATACATGTAGAATATTGCAGAAACATGCAAATGAAAGCAAGCCGTTGTTCTATGACTAGCAGATAGTAAAAAGAAAATTTACAACTGAAAACTAATCCACCACCCACTGATCATTTTTATCCCAGTTCTTCCTTCCCACTGGAGATTATCTACATTAAAGATGTTGCAGATCAGTCCTTGTTAGCAAAAGTTATTATTAATTATGTGGTTGACACGTTTATTCAAAGCAACTTACAGAGATTATAATGACCTTTTTTTAAAAGTTTGGTATTTATTTTTGCAGCATGGTAAAAGAGCTTGATCAAGGGTGCAAAAGCTATAACGCCAGCTGATATCTGAGCCCTCAACTATTCAATTCAAATTACATAGACCCAACCTCTACTCCACACTGTCAAAAGGTTCAAAACCTACTGGCATTATTTTTAATGAGTTTTACCAGAAATAGAAATTATTTTATCATATTAATAATTAATATTCATGTTTCCTAAATGAGATGATAGTGGGCATTTCAGTTTTCGTTTTTAAGTATAACAGTTCCTTATCCCAGGCAGATGTACACATTCGTTGTCAGCTAAGGTTATATAAAGGAAAACTAGTCCCATTTTTCCCAGATTCTTCTATACTTAATATTAAATTTTACTTTAATATGTCCATAATCTAAAACAAAAGGACATTTGTCACTATACAAAATTGTCATGCTGTAAAGCTCTGATGGTAACTGGAAATAAGGCATACAATTAGTACAGATCAATGCTTGAGAATTTAGGATTGTACAATTGAAAGCATTCCTAAAAAAATCTAAATTCTGCAGAGATACAACTCTTCCTCCTATCTACAGTATCTGGATAACTATAGCCTTGGTATCTGTAAAACAGAAAAAGTAAAAAAAATACAAAAAGATCTTAAAAAGACTGCTGTGCAACTTTTCAAAAGATGTGGCATAAAAAACATACTGTACACACAAAAAGATGCTGTTTGTCAAAACAGCAATTGGTTTAACAGGATTTTACAGGAAGGAAGAAAAGTTCACATTTAATTGCCTGAGGGTCTGCATACAAACAGAAACTGATCTGAAAAAAAATGAAATTGCAGCAGTTCTTGCATTTGTATGCAGTACACACATCCTGAAACTCCACTTCCAGAGGTCTGCTTACCAAAAAACATACACAGTTTTAAGTTGAATGATAGGTTATGGTGCCCCAGAGCGATTTGAAAAGCAATTCCATGGATAGTCTATACAATTCAATGTCTAGCCAATCTACCATCTAAATGTATCATTACATACTTCACACTCCTGTCTCATTAGGTTAGCAACACCAGTATAAAAGCCCTACTTTGATTTCTATTCCAGTGATAGTCGCTCCTGGTCCACAAGGGCCACAGTCCACCAACAGTCCACAGTTGGTAACTTATTGTTATCAGTGACTGTAATGACCTGGAAAGGGTGGCGATAGAGATCAACGAATCAAACAGTCAATTCAAAGTGTTCTGTTAGAATCAAAACCAGAAGAATTGGGCACTTGGGGATCAAGAATTATTTACAGTGTTCTAATCTGTTCACAAAACCTGTGTGACAAGAAAACTCTTTCACCAGTGAAATGTTAAAGTAGGTTCTGCAAGGAATTCTGTATTGTCTGCCGTAGAACTGGATAGGCAGCACAGATTATATTGAGCCATAATGCATTTTAATATGGGGTAATTATTATACCACCACAACAATTTGCACTGGTGTGCCGAATTACAGGGTTTAAAGCTCCTTAATACTGACTGTGAAAGCCAACTATCAACACAAGCTAAAGATTCTTGTTCCCATTGTATTTTAGCCTTTCTTGCAGAGTTGCCAACTGTTTATTGCATTACAGATGTGAATTATGAATAATAGTTGCATCAATTAATGATGTCCAGTGGGAGAAACACAACAGCAAGAGAGAACAGCTGTTCTTGCAACTGCTATAGCAAGACTGCAATGCATAAAGCTGCATAAAGTTTTTTCAGTATTAGAAAAAGATACTGAAGTAGCCCTTAATGTACCGATTCTTTCAGAAAAACAAGAGCTTCAAAGTAACAGTCACATACAAGATCGTTAAATCTTAGTGTGACATTTAACCTCAACCCTTTATCAGAGCTTTAATCTCTGAATTCAGGGAAGGAAAAAAAGTGTCTTGTCTGAATAAGTAACATGAAATAAAAAATGCTTTTACCACAACTTCAATAACTGATTCAGTAGAAATTATTCTCATTACTGCATCGTCACTGTCCTGAGAATGTGGTTTGTTTTTTGAGGCATATAGCTTGGTACATCATTTTCCCACATAATTACAGCTTCTTGTCAAAATAAGTTTAAAGTGTGAGGCACATAACCACTGTTAATTACTACCTTATTTTCAGGGCAGCGAGAATCTATGGAGTGTAACGGAGTTTTTTTTTAAAAAACTAGATCATATATGACCAAAGAGATTGCCCTAGTTTAATCCATGTGTAAGGTCAGTTTACTTCATTTTCTCACATAAGAACACCAATTCCCCCCCCATTTCTTCCTGCCTGCCAAAAAAAAAACCTCTCTGATTTGACAAGACCAGAACCATGAAGGCTAGGCTTTGAAAGAATTTAATAAACTGGTTACCAGCCTCAAAGCCACAATGCACAGGAGACTAACACTTCCATCCACTGCATTGTGTAGAGCCACAGGGAGCCTGACAAGCACTTGTCCATGGAGAGCTCTTCTCCTCTCCGTCAACTCTTTATTGGGTCTAGGCTAGTTTCCATGGCAACGGGGGTCAGGGTTAAAGTAACGCAAAAAAACGATCCCATATATTTTCTAGGAAGCCAGGAATAGCATGTTACACACCTCAGCACTACTTGTAATTCCTGTGCTTGTTTAAACCACTTCCCAAATGCTTCAAAACCCCGCTGGAGTGCCATGAGACAAAATACCCTCTTTTCAACGGCACATTGCCACAAAAAGACACGGTAATAATTACAATGCTTATTTATTAGGAATACAATGGGGAGCAATTTCACTCACAGCTGTGGAACTGTTAAGTGTCTATTTCCTTCTTATAGTTCATGTTGTATCATTCAGGGGATTATTTTATAAACACTCACGGCAGAAATCCTACTTCCAACCTGGCACACAGCAGGGCACAAAGCTGTCCTTCTTACAGACCCACAACACAGGATAAATATCTTCAATACATCCACTCAAAACCAGCAGGACAAGGCTTTCCAATCCACGTGCTATGCGTTCGAAAATTGGAAGGCAGAAAAAAATAATGAAAGCCAAAACAATCACAAATTAAATGAAGGGGTGCACTTGGAAATCTGTTTATGTTAAATTGCATATACCCTATCTAAATCTGGAAATACATAAAAAAGGAATCTGCATTGCTGAAATAAGAATAACTGCTGTCAAATAAATTACACAGAACAGCTATGAAAGTAACTGTAAATTACTCCTTCAATTTAAACAGTTGGCTTTCCTGTGACAGATAATGAAAGCAGCTGATGGGAGCTTTTCTTGCTAATGCAGAGGATAACTTGTGTGATTATTACATGAACCTATTTTCTGGATTTGGATTTAACATATTTACTGTGCATACGACACATCTGAACTTCAATTAAAAACTCCTCGTGAAGCAAAAAGTTGAAAGTGCATCTGACAACTGCTGGATCGGACTCATACACCTACTGACGTGTAGATAAGCTGGTTGGACAAGATGAAAAGCAGTTACGGGAACACAAACAGGGTGAACACAAACAGGTAGCAGTTTCTAGGAGGGCAGAGAGATGGGTGTCATTCACAGCAAAAATCAGAAGACAGAGAAACTACATTCCAGTGTAAAACAGATATTTCCTTCTTGATAAAAACACACCCACATGGACGCTGCGAAGCTTTATTTAAGGGAAGAAGGACACAGCTCCTAAAGTGAAATTCCTATGAAATCTAGGCCACCTTAACATGCGAGACAGAACTATTTTGCTGGTCTGTTTAAGCTCAAGGGATTGTGCGGTGTCCCATATGCTGAGCTTCCTCTCACAGGTGTCATTATCTCCTCTGTATTTTACTAGCTCGCATAAAACTTTAGACCCAATTACGGGGCAGATGTAGCAGTTGTCCTGTGAATTATAAAATTCGACGGCATGACTAGAACTGAATCTATCTACAATGACTTTTTTCACCATGATATAGCAAACAGGTTCATGTCCTGCAGGTTGTTCAATTCTGTACTAAGTCATTTTGTCATTTGTGTTAATGCCTGGAAAAAGAAACAAAGGTAAAGAGCTTATATTCCAATCAACTACAGGGAAAAAAAACTTCTGCTGTTTACAGGAAGGATTTGCCTAAACCACCTATCAAAGGTGTTTATTGCTTTTACCGATCGCATAACTATTTTCTACAGCTAAATGAAATCCTGCAAATTTATCAAAACAATGTTTTGGGATGTCCCAAGCAAAATTTTGACAGAATCTGAGATGTTATTTCTTTGGAGTGAAAATAATCTGTTAGATTATATAGCCAGACATCGTTATACAAAGAAATGCAACTGCTTTCTCACTGGTTTACTGCAAGAATGTAAAAGATGTTGCTTACAATAGAAATGTTAGAAAATAAATTATTTATATTGTAAACAATTTCAAAATGACCATATTCTTAAAAGCATCTGCAATTCAGATGCAAAGATGTGCTACACAGGGAAAGAAATAGATGGCAAATGTTTCAGATTGCAATGCTTTCTCTAGGCAATCCTTGTAAATACAGTAAGTGTACTGAATGGATAACCAGTTAAATCTGCACCTCTGCCATGAACTATAAAGCACTAAAAATATCATTTCTGGTATAATCAGTATACTGTAATATGAAGATTACTTTTTTACAAAAAAGCCACATGGCCAAGAAATACAACATCCAGGAATTGTTCACACTCAATTTATATTGAATTACAATAAAATATCTCCTCTCAAGAAATACAGAAGCATAAAAGATAACTTCACCCCATAACAGCAGAGCAGTGCAATAGCAGAAAGAGTCATTTAAACTGATTGCTGTGCTGTCTGCAGGGCTTTTTGTGGTCTTTATGGCTTTAACTGAATCAACATCATCATATACTGTATAGATTGATTCCAGAGCAGTGTAAGGTATATAGTAGTCCTGAAAATACATGATTAAGGAAAGCTCTTTATTCTTACTCTTTAATCAATTACTACTTAAAAAATACAGTTTTCTACTGACTGGCAAACTGCTCTAGGCAGTTCATCGGCTTGACCTTAGAAACTGATGCTGTCCCTGCAATGGCGATATTGTTTCTCGTTACTAACATACCCAAGTTAAAAAAAAAGTCAGATCCTGTTACTTTTTGGGGGAGCTATGTACTAAGCTTTTTTCCTATTCTACCAGAGACGTGAGATATTTAGATGATCAAATCAGTGATAAACAAGACCTGCTCTGTGTCATCCTCCTTCAAGCTTACCGATCTGTCCCATTCTCCATTTGGGTGACGCAACAATGCTGCCGCCAATCCAGAAAAATTCTTCCGCTAGCCGGGAGACAGAGGTCTTCTGCCACGGTTTTGGGGATGACATCATTGCGGGAGACGACGGCCTGGCAGAAGAAGAGGCTCTCGCAGCTGACGAAGCTGCAGGCACAGCAGCTGGAGGCGCCATCACGATAGTGCTCATTTTTCAGCAAATTGTGCTTGGTGCAAAGGCTGAAGAACACCAGCAAGAGGTCCCAAGTCCCCCCCGAACAATAACTGGCTAGAACAGGAAAAGTTATCAGCCCCTTTCTGCAGCCATAAATATTTCACTCGGTGAAGAAGGTCATTGAATGGATCTTACCAAGAAAACAAGCTAAATACAAAAAAATCTTCAAGCTTGCCTTTCCCTGAGACGCGATGAAATTAGAGTTCAGAGTGTGATATGGTTTCGGGAGTCTTTAAGAACTGCCAAGCATGAAGCAGTATTTCTAGATATATTTGATCAGTCTCCCGAATTTAACGGGCTCTTCCCATAATAGTGCAAAGATTTAAAAATAATATGTGGAGCATTCCCTTTTCACAGTGACAGATTAAAAAAAAGGTTAAAGACAGAGTTCAGTCCTGCCTCCTCAACAAAACACTATCAAGTTCCAATTGAATCGTCCACAATAGAGTCAACAGTTGGTCCATTGTCTTGGAATGCAGTGGAAAAAGTCATAAAGAGTTAGCTGACTCAATCCGCGTTTTGCTGTGCAATATGATAAAAGTCTTACGCACAGAAAAAGCATATGCCTTACTTCATGCAGCTTAGTGCTTTCCTTTGTTTTCCTTCTTCCTCCAAGGTTTTCCTGTGGAATCTTAAATGAACGTTTTCACAGCAGCGTCGTGCACCCTTGCGTTGATCGGAGGAGAGGGGAAAAAAAGATGCAAACAACCAACAGTGTAACACATGTCAGTCGGAAATCCTAAATCCTTCTCAATCTGTAATCCACAGCTGAAGCTACTGCCCTATTCAGGCAAAAGGATTTAGGTCTTGCGTATGACCATTGTAAAAACGGGGGAAGAGAGAGAGAGAAAGAGAGAGATGCGTCAAATCATCTTATTTTAAATATTTCAGGGTCCAATTAAACAGTCTTCTTCATCTCTGTAGTGGCTCCAAAGGGAGTAGCTGTGAATATGGATGCCTACAATTCTCACTGGTCCCCCTGTCTGCAAATATATACACATAGAGATGTGAAGGGCTTTTTCTTCTTCTCTTGCCTCTCCTTGCCAAGCAACGGCATGCGATAATTGGCGCTCAGGTATAACCCCGCATTACTTGAAGTGACACAGACCTCCCGTGTGACTCGATCAACAGAGAAAAACGCTTTCCAACTTTGTTTCCTAAGCTTAAGCTGCCCTTCTTGCTTTAACAAGTGCGCTCATCTCTGTGTTGCCAGAGCAGACACAACACATACTACTGTAACTGTGAGACAAGAACCTACGGTGTATCCGAGATACAAAACACAGGATTTGGCACTGCTTGCAAGCGTGGGAGGATGAAAGCCATTTACAGTGCATAAAAAAATCACGGCAAATCAAATAGGAACGCAAGGCACTTGTTACACAGAACAAGAGCTCTCCCTAAGTGTACTTCAGTTATGACATGAAATTAAGGGTTGATAAGATAATGAAGATTACTAACACAGTTGTGAAAACCATACAAATGCTGGACAATGATAACACATGGCTAGAGTTGCACAGAACAAACAGTGATGCTGTTAAACAAAGCTCAGTAAAGCTCAATCATGACAATAACTTTAATTTTCACTTTCTAATCTGTCTTTTCTACTTATCTTCTCCAGGGAATGATCTCCACTTCTGCCCTTCAAAATCACACCAGCTGAACCAAGCTTTCAATCCACTGCTCATGGTTAAAAAGACTTGAAACAGTTTACATGGCAGTTTCCCTGTCCAGTTAATGTAACAAAACAGCTCAGGTCTTACTTGACAATACTAGCTGAAGATGGATTTGGTAGGTGCAGTATGTTCACCCTTTTTCAAAAGCAAGTCTGTCCTATCCTTTTCACAACTGGTTTATATAAGCTGCATCTTCATGTGAAAATCGTATAAAATAAAATCACCAATAAGCCTCTCCTAATTTCTCAGTGTAATAATTTGAAATTGATAATGTTTTGTTTATTGGCAACTGTGATCAATTCCAATCTAATTTCTTAAACCCCAAGTCAACGAACTAGACTATCACTAATGCTATCTGCTGTAAGTGAATTGCAAATGTTCTTAAAAAAGGAAAACAGCAGCACAAATAAGGTGAAAGAAAATATTTGGGATTAACTGGAACTATGAACAGATCTACAACAACACAGGAAAAATGGACAATAACGCAGAGCAGAACAGGAATAGTGACTTCGACCATTGGAATTTTGTTTTTAGTTGCAATAAAAATTTGGGACTGATTTTGCTCAGTTGCTATGAAACAATGCAAAATAACATAACATTATGCAAATTGCTAGCAAAAAGCTACAGTATATGCATGTGATAAAGCTCCATCAGCTTAACACTCTCACAATGATCACTGCTGCACATGGAGTGCGATTTGGTTTGAAAAGCTCTCCCTCATTCTCTTCACCAGAATCACTGTAGAAAAAAGCAAGCTGATGTATCCTCATTTAGTGCCGAGGCACTAATGATACTATTTAAAGCAGTTTTTACACCTTAAGTGCTGCAATATCTCCCACAGCCATATACTGTCTTCCTGCACATTGCAGATAATCTCTAGAAAATGAGTGCTGAAAATGTAGGGAAATTAATGCAATTACCTACAGTACATACTGAATATACATCTTTGCAACATGAATAAGTCAATAGGCTATGATTTATTCATTGTTACACTCTTACAACGTCAATTAGGTTACTTATCTCTATGTATGGAATAAATTACAGTCTCAGCAGGCCAGATTACGATTTTCACTCAGACAGTTAAAGATCATAGCTTAGCTGGCTACCTCGTGTGTCCTGCAACCAAAACCCTCTGAGCATTACAAAGGAAGCACAAGACGGCTTAGAAAAATGCAAGGACTAAGAAACCAATCGAGACAATTGAGGTTTAAGAACGGCATCTACGCAGGATCTCTATTGTTTTAACCTTGTAAGAGATTTGGACTCGGTGCCATAGTGCCTAGAAAATGCAATCAAACCGAAACATTACAAAACAAAAGTAGAGAAGATTTATCTAAATTGTAATGGTAGTTAATGAAAAGATATGAAGAAGGAGCGACTTACTCATTCCTCCAATTGCATGATCTGTACTTCTTCCTGTATCTATCTTCCTGTATTTTCTCCAGAGTAATCCTGAGTCTAAGCTTTGCCATTGTGGGAAATTGTATATTTAGATATAAATCTCTTCTCTCTTGGGGATGAGAGAACGGGTGCAAAGAATTAGCAATATGATATAGCAGATGATATGAAGATGAAGCCAAGTAAGTAGTTCCTAGCTACTAACTACATGTTATAAATATACAGTACAAGTGGGCTTGAATTACTGCTGAACCATGAAGGCCAATCAGTCTATTAAGGTAATGGCACCATAGCTGGTCACCATTTTTCTGCCACTTTTCCCCCCACTTTAGAGCAAACGTCTGTAGTGAAATCTATTTTAACCCAACCACTTTGACCCATACCCTTCCATGGAGGAAAGATTTTAAAAAAGCAGGGGCATTTAAAATGAGTGATCATCAAAAATAGCTACACCAAAACAGAAACAAGAAAAAACTATTTTTTTTAGCAACATGTGAACAGTAAATGCAATACATTCTGCCCCAAAAAAACATCTTTGGTGACCGTGAAAATGCAATATTAAGCCTTAATTAGTCTTCAGGAAAGCAACCTTTAAAATTTTTTTCTACTTTTAATTTTTCTATTATTTGAAATTGTGATTGCCAGTTATTTTCGGTCAAACCCTATCTTGGCATAACTTTTTACACGGTGTTGCAGCCTGGAGGCCTGTTCCAATAATGAAAGGAAGAGGACCTGCAGATGTGCTCTTCAAACCTACGGTATAAGTCTGTCAGACCCATTCACCCTTAGAGACTCTATGAACTTCACAGCACAGGAAGGCGAATGCTGACTGTCGAAGCAGCAGAGTGTATCTCAGTGATGTAACTGTAAGCTTGCCGGTACCCCTGCAAGTCACAAGAGTTGACGATCTGATAAAAGCGGAGAGAATCCTGACAGATTAATATCAACCATATCCCAGCAGCGTTCTTCCAGCTGTACGCTGCCACATAGAAAATCCTGCCCATGGTCAGCAAATGTCATGACCCAGGCACATAGCAGCAAAACATGTCTCATCATGTCTAATTGCATTTTAAACCTAAAACATCACACAGAATTTTGCTGTTTCCTTTGAGTTCTGTCCTCATTTATCCCGATCTGTGTGGTGGGTCAAAATTCTCTCGGCACTGTTAACTTGGTGTAATTCTTCTTGTCAGGCTTTCAAGTGTGCTTAAATTCACCACAGTCATTCAAGTGTGCACTGATAGTAATCACACATTGCCATTAAAGAGCAGCTCCCAGCAGTCTCACCTTCAGGTGCATTGATGTAAGAGGATTCTGAAGACAAACAGGGTCTCCATCTTCTGTCTCTTGTGGGCCCCATTTCAGGAGGTCACTCTAAGCAAGGACCCCCTCTTTCAGCATAAAATTGTTATAAATAAAGCTACCATTAAAGTACCAAAAGCACAACTGTAGAACTAAGCTACAACAGAAGCTGCTGTACTGTCACAGCAAACTGAATGAGCATATATTAATGATAAGAGTATTTATGGGACTCTCAACTATACTACAGTACTATGCAATAAGCCTCCACTCCCAGCCCTCTTTTTCCCAGCATTCCACATTTTATCTATTTCCCATCTTGCAAACAGCCAATCCAGGGAATCCATGTTCCTTTCACTGTTCGCAACACTGAACTCTTCCCGTAACCCTCAAAAATGTGTTTTGTTCTTTTTCCATCTCTTCAAAAATGTGAAGAGACTGCTATTCTACAAAAGCCGCCAGTCAACCTGAGAAGGATGTGGAAAAGAAAACAAGAATGTTTTAAAAGCACCTTATGAAAAACTTGAAGTAGGAAACTTGCCTAAAAACAATGCTCAAATTCTCTCATTATGTATAAGCACTCATTCAATTCCGCTGATGAAAAGAATCTGACCTGGAAAATGACACTGTGCATGATGATAAATATTTAACAAGCAAACAAACAGCTGTATTGAAAGTTCATGTGGGGTATTAGCAAACCACAAAGTACATAAATCATTCTCTGCAAAGAAAAGATTATCTAAAATATCTCCTCACTCAACATAAATAAGACTCGCAAAAGCAACCAAGGCAACTAATCACTGCTAACACTGTGATTAAGTATCAAAAACCGATAATGATTCTTTCCTCTCTCTAAAAAGTGAACTGAAATGACTCAATGTCTCACCTAAGTACAGATGTCATTTAGAATAACAATATTAACATACATTATACCTTTATGATAACCCAAAGTACAGTAAATGCATGAAGATAGCATAGCTTAACCATAAGACATATGCAAAAACACCAAATATGAAGCTTTAAGCATTCAAGACATTTTCTGATGCTGGGGTTATATTTCCTTTGCCACACAGTAAAATACTGCTTTTAATGTATGTCTAAGGAACAACATTCTAGAAAAATGCATAGTGTTTGTATCCAAAGTCTAGTTAACTTTAAATTCCAATAAGCACTTCTTTTCTAATTGTTCTTCCAATAGTCAGTAAATTGCTAGTATGATAAGTCCCCATTCAAACACACACAATCAGCATACCATGATTGCACATTATGCAAGATATTGCTAATTCATTACTTTAAACGATGATTGATCTACTGATACTGGTAATAGGATCCAATCTATTGAGACCAGTAATTGGTTTAATATGCCTGATTTTAATCATAATTCCTTCATTCCCTGCTTACATTAATGACTAGAAAGACCGAATGTTTTGTGAACAGCCTGTTCCTGACTTGCCACCTAAGGAATTTTTATTTCCAGCTCTCAGACAATTAAAACAGAAGCCTTAAAGTAGCACCCTCTTCCAGCCATTCTCAATCAATGACGGCAGTTTTAGGATTGGAGTTGTCTACATCCAAAGCTCGGAAATACAGGTCAGTGCTGGTAAAAAAAGCAAGAGAAATGCCTAAGAATAAAAAAGGCAGCACTAAAACACGAAAATGCATTTTACTAAGAATGTAGCACTGTTTGCACTGTTGCTGCCAAAAAAAGGTCAGACTCACAGGACCGGGATCTGTATTCTTATCTCTAGATCTAACTCAAGCAAACATTCACTGCCTCATTCTTCCAATCACTGACTTGCTGGGA